CTCGCCATGAACCGTTATATCATTGTTTAGCTCATTCCTCGACCGACAGTTTGACGATCGAGCGAGCAGGCTGTGATATCGGAGGGACTTCAAAGCCACCAGTTGCAAGGAAGCCGCATGTGAAACACGCAAGCGCAATGAGGAACCTAATATGACGCGCGATTACAATATACCACATGCCTCCCCCTTCATGCTATTTCATGGTGTAAGATACAAACACTTTGTATCTTACACCGTGCGCTATACGCACAACCTCTGTGCTGAGAATCTAAGTTCAAAAGAAAACCTTGGGGTTTATTTACGTTTCTTCCTTTTTTTTCTAATTGTTCGCCCGTATTTTGTTTATTTGTATATATGCATGAGCAGCGTCCATTCACTAGGGTGGGACCCGTTGTAGCGTACGTGTCTGCCACGGTTAGTTGCTGAGTTCACAGTTGCAAGAGCCAGTGGCGTAGACAAGTGTGTGGCTCACCGGTCATGTGCCCCTCCCAAAATTTCCCCGTGCCATCGGATACGCAGCAAGAAAATGAGAATCGATCCTAACTAAATTGCATGGCCTCCACATCAGATCAAGGGCCATGCCGCCATCGACGTAAATTTCTGCCTAAGCCACTGGCCGGAACCGTTGAATTTCACCGTTTATTTGTTATCGCTGTCGATATTAAAGTTCCTCGAGACCGACCGACCGACCGACCGACCGACCGACCGACCGACCGACCGACCGACCGACCGACCGACCGACTGACAGACAGACAGACAGACAGACAGACAGACAGACAGACAGACAGACAGACAGACAGACAGACAGACGACGGACGGACGGACGGACGGACGGACGGATGGACGGAAGGAGATAGATAGATAGATAGATAGATAGATAGATAGATAGATAGATAGATAGATAGATAGATAGATAGATAGATAGATAGATAGATAGATAGATAGATAGATAGATAGATAGATAGATAGATAGATAGATAGATAGATAGATAGATAGATTATTGGGTGAGGTGTGTCCTCGTGGCAGCCTTAGTATGGGTGACAGTGGTACGCTGGCAAGGACTTATCTTTCTCTAATCCTTCTTCTAAGTCTTACTCTGGTTATATAAATCAAAGTTTTGTGTCAGTTTGCTGACAGGACACGCTGAAATGGTGCGGAGTTTTCCTCACGCTCGCAAAAAACACCCTTCGGTCGTCACAATAAACATAAGTGAACAATCTATGAATCTGTCGTAATACATGTTATTTCGCAACCTCGACAGCATTTTCCAAAGCTCTGCTTGAATACGTAGAGGCGCACCGTGCGGTCTTAGTATAGTCTTAGCGTCCTCGTAAATAGAAAGCGACTCAGCCAAACAGCGTCGACATCTGTTGTACGAAATTGCCACCATGAACAGACGTCGCCGCCTGGTGCAGCAAAAGTGAAACGCAAAAGTGGCTCCCATTTTGAAGCGTGTGCTAGAGCGATTGTTGTATTCTGTAACTGTAATGTGATGCCCGGTGCTCACCAGTTATTTTTACTCCTTCACTCCTGCACTTGACTCCTTCAAGAATAAATAATAATAAACTGACCAGAAGTTTTGTTTAGAACACACTTACCTGAAACTCCGTTCCGTGCCATGCGCATTGTTGGTGATGGTGAGCGTTGAAATCCTGTGTAGTACTTTTGTTTTTCTGTTTGTGCTGCGACTAAGACTTACTGCAGTGAGCCTTCGTTCACGCTGACTCACCATTAAAGTTACTACAATTATCTAGTTGTAATATTGGTTCACCAGAATTTTCTTTAACTTCATCTTTTTTGACAATGAACTCTTTCATTTCTTTGATTTGTGGCGCACGTTGCTCAGTCTACACAAGACACGTCTATGTATTTTCCTGTAATTTCTGCTTCGAAAAAAAAAACCTGACTGGGGCTTCCAAGTGTGAGATTCAATACCAGCACTCTTCTACCCACATTTCTCATTATTGCACTTACTAGAATAAATCAAGGGCAATTCATTCACTCTCCGATTTCCGGTAAAACCGTTGGGCCGGTCTAACTTCGCGTAGAACTTACGTACTACTTAGTAGTGCGTAGGTAATTCTCTGGAGTCTTCCCGCAACTTGCGTTTACACTTCAGAGAAAACGAAGTCATGTTAGACGGAGTACGTTAACGTTCACGTGAAGCCAGAATTGTGAAACTGCTGAGCTTTGGGCAGGGTTAACACGTGTATACTTCGAAGTTCAGTACGGATATGGATCTCTCCTTTTTATCCGCCCGCATAAAAATGATTGAAGGAACTTTTCTTTGTTACGCTAACTGCACCATCGAGTAGCACTGCAGAAAGCTTTTAGGAATAGCCTTTACATTAGGAAGCGCAGCAGCCTTTCCTATAACCTTATAGCGAGGAGAGCCCCCCGTCGAATCCACTTAACCAATGTCGGGCGGACTTAATTGATGTCGGACGAAACTCGCTTTAATAGAGTGAATGCCGGTGGTGACGTCAAACCATTTAAGAGTGAAAGGCTTCCGTTCACTAAGCGCTTTCCAGGCAATGGCTGAAGTCCTGTTGAATTTGGAGGGTTTCTCGGTGAAAGAGTGATTGAAAAGAGTTTTTGAGATGCGGTAACTTCGACTAATGATTCTTGGAGTCACCGCAATCGCGTAGGGTGTGCATATATTTATTTGATTCTGTGAACTCGTATGTGAAGTTTGAATAGATATCAGGTTTCTGCGTCCAGAGCTGTTCATGTCGCCCACTGCGCAGCCTACCGTGTAAGGTTTCTGTTTTCAACCATAGAACGACCAAAGTTTTGGTAGGGCTTTAATAAAAGCGCGCACTTTCAGACTGCGTGAGTATTTTAATCAGGGAATCTCTCCTCATGTTGGTGCTGTCACAAAATAAGAGAAAGAAACGAAAACAAGTGCAATCTTTCTCTACTGTCGACAGTTAAGCGCCTCATTGGCATATATTTTGGTTTTTTTTCTTTTTCATGGATATCATTAAGATGTTCTGTTAGGTTTTATACTGATTGAAGCCCTCCAAAAGCAATGAAAGCTCACCGTGTTCTAGTTTCTTTTTATTGTGATATGGAGCCACCCTTCAGGCATAATGCTCTGCGTATATGTGAATAATTTGTGCGCTGTGAGTCTTGTTTTGAGTATGAATAAAGGCAGTGTTTTGTGAAATGTTAAATTGCAACAATTTTCCTACGCATCCATGCAAAACAATATAATTGTATAAATAACGAAATCCAAGTGTTATAGTGACGCTGATGGAAATCGGAAATACTGTACTAAAACACGCATGGAATAATTTAATACGATTCACTCAAATTCAGTTTTATTTACAGGTGACACAGACAATATCACCGGCCAAGAGGGAATTTAGGCGCTTGAGATTCGTATCGCCTGCGTATATGACGTATGACACAATTTGTTTCTGTAGTGTGCTTGTGGTTGCTCAAATAACGAACTGTAGCACTGAATAGAAGGCAACCACGGTATCATAGCTGCAATAGGAAACAATGCAGTCATGCCACAGTCTTGCAATGCTTTCCCACTGTATGGTGGCATAGCAGTGATACTAGACTAGTTAACATCCCCGCTTCTGCGGTCCAAGTGTTCCCATTTGGTTGAAGAGGGACAGGTCACCAAGGGTTCAGTGCAACTGCATCGAGGCTTGAGCTTGGCACTGTGGTACACCTTCTCGGTACACCGCAAAGTAGCGTTTGTGCAATACGCACTTCGAAAGCACTGTTAGCCTTTAAGGAAACTTCATAACTCTTTTGTGCATTCTCGTGCATGAGCGGACGTGCCATTTGAGTGTATATGTGACCGTTGTATACGCATACCATTGTCAACACTCGACAGCTGAAATAGTAAGGCAGGCGATCAACCAGGCAAACATGTCTGGTGTACTCTTTAAAAATTGTTATATCTCTTTCTTTAATCTGTCATCTTGCCCTTCTTTCCAAACAAGAGCAATGTAACATCAGCGCCCACCTACTTCAGGCGTTACCCGGAGCCATCAGGACACTTATTACGATTGTGAAGTGGAATGGAAATAAGGGCTGAGCCTTTCATTCAAAGTATTTGATGTGCAAAAGTGCATGGCGAGTGACCTGCCTCAGTGCTATGTAACTTAGAAGAAATTGTTGGTCGCCAACGTAATTGGCTCACACTCGCAGAGTTAAAGACCAACTCCGGCGATTTTTGGACCATGTCAAAGTAATGGTGTTTCTATGTTCCTGAGACACTCTTGTCACGAGCCCAATAGCTGCAATGCTCAGTAAATTTGAAAATAATCTTTGATAGGCAAAAACGTGCAAACCCGAAACCGAAACCCAACCGGGCGCCCTGTCTGCGTATGACGCACTATTTGGTAAGAACCGGAAGCCATATACTGGTTCCACTGGCACGAAGTATGAAAACTGTGAAAGCCAGACCATGGAAGCGCCGGCCAAACACAGAAGAAGGAAGAAAGTTTTCCCGTGACATACCAGTGCCAAACACCACCGCCGTCACCTTGTGGCCAGCACAATAAGCGCTTTAGCGGCCAAAGTAGGGATGCCATCGGCTGCGCCACTTCCGTTGACATGCCAAACAGGACGTCGCACAGACAGTGTTGCCGAAAATTCTGGCCAGCGAGGTCAGCTTTCCGAGGCAATCTTTGAAATTCATCTTTAAACAATCAGCGCATCTCTCAGGCCTGCAATTCCGCATAAATGACGGAAATGTGCAAAGAAACGTACCCAGGAGATTTCATTGAGATTCATTGACCCCGAAAAATTGCTGGAGTTGGCCTTTAAGAAAGGCACAAGTTAGGGGAGGACGAGGAAGTGCAAGCAGGTCAAGACGCTGCCTGGCGTCTTTGCGGTACTGTCCTTAGTTGTGCGCTTCTCAACTCGGCTAACATACTTTCGTGCAACTCAGGACATGCGCAAGTGCCTTCATGCTTCTAGACTTGTGAGTCTTCAGCAGGGCATCCACGCATCTAGTAACGGCACAATCGCTCTTCGTTAGATGTATTTTTTGTTTATTTTATCGGCATAAATAAAAAATGGCGACGACAAAAAGTAAACGGTCATTCAAAGTAGAGGTAATGCATGTACGCTGTAGGCATTGCGCCTGCGTCTCTTCTTCTCGCCCCACTGACACGGATTCAAACAGGAAATACAAGTTGCTTACGTACACGTATATAAAGAAAGAGAAAAAAACTACTACAGATAGAAATTAGGTGGTGAACGGAGGCAGGAAACGATCAGTATGTCATAAATAGGGCATCATAAGCACTCAAAAAAAACAATAATAAAGAGGTAAGCGTAACACGCACACTCGACATGGTGACCTCTGAGTAGGGCGCTGATTTCATGTAATTGGTAGGTGTCTCTCTCGCTCTCTCATTAGGCTATGATGAAGATGAATTTTTTTTTCACATCTGCGCAACAAAATAACTGAGAGGAAGGGGATGACTGAGATGGGTAGGTGAAGACGTCACTAAAAGAGCGTTAAGCAAGCAATGGACAGCTAAGACAGGTAGCGTTAGGCCTGAAATGAGCTCATTGGGAGCGTTCTCGATATGTACATTTTTTTTTTCTTCGTCTTCTTTTTCTCTCACATCACTACCACCTCGAAAGGCCAAAAACTCTGAAGGCTGACCGGCTCGTCTACCCGTTCCCATTCTTTCCTTGTAAATTGCCACGCCCACTAGGTTGAGAGGCACATAGTGACAAAATTGACGCCTTTTCAAACACTGCTTTTTCCTGTCGTACGTTCGATGCAAACGTATATAACTGTCGTACACCACCGCAGACCAGCTGCCGAAGTGCTGAGAAAGTTATTCCTCGTTTATACCGTGAGAAAAATATGTGGAGCGGCAGGATTTGGCTCAGAGATGTCTCACTGACTTTATCTCCTGCTTACATTCTTGTAAATGTATAGCTGCGGTGGGACCATTTCGTTCAATGTGAGTAGCACGCAGAATACTTCCAGATTTCATGTTCGCGGTTCACGAATCATGACCGCACAAAGCGAAATTGGTAACCTACATCTGATGACAGCCCTCTTGTGTGAAGTGCTTTTAAGACGTCAAAAGTATCGGCCCTGCCGGCTAGTATATTTAAAACCAATGAATGCAAGATGGTCGTTAAATTGAAAAGGGCTCCATTGAGTACAAGTTAACACCCTTAAATTGGATGAAGGCTATAAAAAAATCATGTGACCATCTTCCAATCGTTACTTTTTTTTTCATGGTAACTCTGTTCGCGACCACTTCTGTGGTTCCTACTCAAAACTTCGACATCAAAACATTTGTGCGAGCTTCTCGAGTTCATCATTATCTCATCTTTGTGCCTATCAACCTAACGGCGCCATTTTAGACCAGGCCTACACTGTACTCGATTTACTGGGTGTGCTGCTCGTGTTTCTCGTTGACGTCGTGTAGGCGTCGCTGCTGTTCGTGCTGTCTCCGCTGACCCGAAGCGTCTGGCCCACGGTCCTCTGGTCATACGATGACTTTGATGACGTCTTACTTCCGCTGCTTCCAGTGTCACTTCCGCTGTCTGTGTACCCTAAAGAAGCATCGCCATACTTGTTGTACGTCGATGATGACGTCTTCGCTCTAAAGTAGGGTGCAGCTGCGCTCTTGTCCCCATAGCTCGATGAGCCCGACGAACCGCTGTAAGAGGTTGAGTAGGAGCTGTCCGCGCTCGGAGACGAGGACTTTGTAGACCCGTACTTTACGTTCCCGGCTGCGTATGCCTTGAGGGCCTGCGCTACGGCTGCAGCTGCCTGCGAGTTCTTATAGGACGTGGAGGTGCTGGCGTAGTTCGTGGCTGGTCGTTTTGGCGAATAAGCTGACTGCGAAGAGGTGCTGTAAGCGGACGAAGGGTAACGCTGTCCGTAAGAGCCGTAGTTTGATTGGGAGTTATCGTACGCTACGGATGAGCTCGGCAGGGATGACGATGAACTGCTACCGTAGCCGCTCGAGTATGCACTTCCAGATGTGCTGTACTTGGAAGGCGACCCGCTAGAGTATGACGAGGAATAGCCGGATGACGGCTGGCTCGATGTGTAGGTCCTGGTTGGCACCGTGTAGTGGCTCGCTGAACTGCCGTAACTTGACGGACTGTAGGCCCCACTGGAAGAACTATATGACGATGGTTGTGAGCTTCCGTAGCTTCCAGAAGAGGACGTGGGATAGTTTCCGCTTCCTACGAGGCTGTAGGCTGGTCCATATTTGCTCGATCCTGATCCATGATTCGTGATACTTGTTTCGTAGCCGCTAGTGAGCCCACTGATAAATGCCGATGGAGCGGAGCTGACGTATCCACCCCCAGACGAAAGTGTGTACGTCTGAGGAGAACCACCGAAACCGGAGCTAGATTGAGGCGTGTAGAAAGCTATGGTGGGGTCTGAAGAAGGAGCCGACGAGTAGCGAGTGCCCGAGGAGCTGCTCTGTCCGTACCCTGAAGAGGTCGGCTGTGCTTGGAATGCGGCAGCGTACGTGCTGTACTGGTCAGCCGACGACGACTGCGTCTTCTGCCCACTGGATCCCTGCGACTGCGTGTAGATTTCCGCGGAAGGAGTGTAGCTCTGCGAGTCCGACCCTGATCCATCTCCTCCCTGCTGGCCTCTCGTCGCCCCGACAGGAATGGCCACGGGGCCGTCACCGTAGTTTGACAAGCTGACGGGCACTCCGAGCTGAGCGGTCATTATTCCGTTGTAGACGCTCGAGCCTTCCGTCTTGAAACCGTAACCGTTGTTTGACGATGGTGAAATCTGCATGACAGAGTTCACCTGCTGCTGGAAGCTGTCCTGGTCCCCGACCGACGAGCCGAAAGACTCGCTAGCCTGCGGCTGGAAGAGGGACGAAAGTCCGGGGAAGCCGCCAGGGGCTCGGTCCGAGTCCATCTGGCTCTCGGCAAACTCAGTCGCTTGCGCGATGTGCGTCGGTGCGTGCTGTAACACGGCTTCAGGTGCGAAAGTGAATCGTGGCCCTCCGGGCATCGGGAGCGTCTGAAACGTGGCGTGCGCCGCGGCTGCTTGAAGCGGTGGCACGGGGATTTGGTGCGCGAATATGGGCTGCGGCTGATGCTGCGGCTGTTGCTGAGATGGTCTTCCGAAGGAGAAGAAACTCGGCTTCGGAGAACTTGCTGATCCTCGGAGTCCCGACAGAAAAGATGGCGTGCGTAGCCTGAAGAATCCCTTCCCTGGCGGTCGGCTTCCTCCACTGCTCCCGGAAGAAAAGAACGGCTTCCGGAAGAAGGATGGCTTCGGACTGGATTCGGCCGGAGCGTAGGGCATCACCGAAGATGGCATGTATGGTGGCGACAGACCTTGCTGCAGGTAGAATGTCTGGGCGGTCGCCATACCGAACAGCAGGGCACATATGACCTGCAAAGACAGAACAAGAAAAAAAACATTGTTATACCTTGCTTGCCAGACACTGTCAAATCTTTTCACTACGTTCAAAATACTACGGTGCTGTCCCTGGAATTAATTAACGAACGTAATGAACTGTATCTATATTCCGCAATAGTGGTCATTCATACGACGAGTGTGACATCAGCAGAAAAAAAAAGGACTAAAAAGAGAGTGCCTGTCTATCCTCTCTATATTGCGGTCATGCTATACCTCAAGTCACGGATTCGTTACCAATAATGCGATAGAAATTTTTTCTACTCATACGGGACTAGCTCTTTACAGCTGATTCCTCACTTTTCATTACCTGTCTCTTTTCCTATCTCCGTTCTATGTCGGCATAACAGTCTGGAAAACGAAATCTCGAAGTTAGATATTGTAAGCACACCATGGATGAGTGTCAGTTATTAAGCTTCATTCGAGCAAAGTGGATATATCGCCAACATTTCCTTTATTGTTTTATCGGGTAATCACTTGTATTGCTTTAAAAAAGTAAGAGACAGGGTGATCAAACTAGGTCATTCCCGCTTCGAGATGTCATGGTTAGTTTTGTCAATACTGCTTTTATAATATCCGTAGTCCGCAGTGGCAAGAAAATGGTGCCTAAAAGCTGCGCCGATTCTTAATGTTGCTTATCTCCGCTTTATGTTATCGAAATGCTTTCTATACCATCACTGAAGAGAGAGCAAGAAAGCCATCAACATGAAAGTCTATAGCACCATTTTAAAAGGTCGAGTTCGAATACCAATTCATTTATTCAGTTCAGTTGAAATGAATTTTTTTCTTTGGTTGAATAAATAATCTGTGTTCATTTACTAAAAAAATAAAATCGGTTGAAATCTTCGCATTATTCAGTCAAGCCAGAAGCTAATCGACGTGTCACCTATAACAACAAACAAAAGTGCCCACGCTATCGGCGTTCATTCGAGGTACCCATGCTAGCGATAACAAACGTCATGCGTTATGGTTTTAATGCTTGCAATTTGTCTCTACTCCTTGGTCGTAAGGATGAATTATTAAACAGGAAGCAGGAATAATTCGTAAATAGACCATTTCTCTCTACATGTATTTAACATACTTACAGATATACTTTCTTTCTGCATCTGGTTGACCCATCAATGCGAGAAACAACGCGTACAGCCAAAAAAGAAAGAGTACCTTCCTTGTGTACCATATCTTGCAATCAAAAGGTCAGAAAATGGCTCAGATGGGAAGGTTTCCAAATATCCAAAATATGGCAAATCAGTACGCGTATTACGCGTTCAGAAATAAAACCTTCAACTACGCCTTACAGTTGTTTTCAAAAACATTTTCCGGGTGCTTTAATCTCATGACGTGTAGAGCATACATATCGGCTGCAGCTTGATTCCGTTTTTTTTTTTTCTCGTCCTAATCAGCTTTTCTTCCCCGGCTAGCTCCTACGCATGCAGAACCGTCAGGTGCGCTTTCGTAAGGCTGGTTTTCAGAATTAAAACAAGGGCATGGCAGATTTTATTGCTCGGCTACAAAAAAAAAACAGCTTGTATTCGACGGTGTATCGGCATATTTGCCAATAGAGAGTGTAATAGCCACCGAACACAAAGGAACAGGCACATATACACACCTATCACTGTTTGCAAATGGTTATTGCGTTATCTGCCGGCAAGAATATCGTACCTGCGTACGCCTGCTCGGCAGATAATTTCGTACAATAACATAGAGCTAGATGATGTTGCAAAATAAAGCAAAAGCGCTTAGCTCTATGATAAAGAATGAGGCCTTGTTATCGAGACACATTACTGAGAAGCGCCCACGTGCGCATATCCACATATGCGCGTCTAGCAGACGCTCGCGTCCGACTTATCGAGGCACAAGATGCGCATTAGGAGGCATGAATATACATCTGTCTGGACTTCTATCAACAGTCTGTAATTAATCAGATTCCATATTTTGGGAGAGGACATGACGCAGTGTTTTGACAATAACCTCATTGAGTATACTCGGAGGCTTGGTGGTCTATTCCCTGCGCACATGCCATCAGTGCGGTTGTTTGCATGAGCGGCAGCCTTAGTCTTCACGGCGTAATGAATGAAACCGAATGAATCGAGTGTGCCACATTTTCGACTCGCGTCGCCCATATCGGCCCCCGCGTGACCCAGAGACGAAGTGCAAGGTTTCTCATTAGCGGTGAAAGCGATGCAGTACTGAGAGGGTGAGGTAACGCCGCGTATGGGTGGGTCGTAAAAGCTCAAGGGTGTACGAGTCACGCGTCGGTAATATAGCAAGTCGCAAGTCGAGCGGTAATCATAGCCAAAAGCCGTATTGTTGGCCATTAATCGGACGCTGTAGAGAAATGCTCAGGATGTCCGGGAAGCATTTTTCATCGCAAAAGACGTACAGTGTGAAAATGAAAAAAGAGAGAGGAGAAACAACGCTTACATCTATTGCTTCTCCCATACTCGGCGTTTCTTCCGTGGGGTCAGCCATGGTAGCACAATCTTTATGGGGCCCGTCTGCTGACGGTCGCGGTTTCGATTGCAGCTGCGGTGGTCGCATTTAGATGGAGGAGAAATTCTAGAGGCCCGAGTACTGTGCGTTGTGTGAGTGCCCGCTAAAGAACACCAGATGTTGGAAATTTCTGTAGGCCTCCTGTAAGGTGTATCTCACAACCGTATCGCCGTTTTTTTTTTTTTTCACTCAATACTTCCGATATTGTTGCTATATTGTTTCTTATGCAAAAACAGCTTGAATATCATAGGGGTGGGGACACCAAACAGGTCAGACACCAAATAGTCCTTGCGCGAATATTGCCGATGAAGTTTCGACGACGTCCGAAATTTCGCTGAATTTTCTTTTATGAAGGTTTTTCTAGGCTCATCAAAAGCTCCCAAATGTGAATTAATCTATTGCCATTTGTTGTCCATCGTAACACTTTTGTTGTTGTTGTTGTTGTTGTTGTTGTTGTGGTTGTTGTTGTTGTTGTTGTTGTTGTTGTTGTTGTTCCAAGTGAGACAACAGACGGAGTGTTTCGTTAGTCAATATTCATAAGAAAAGTGGGATCTAGTGTGTCACACCTTGACCTGAAACTGTCACATATCTGTGTACGTTCTCGGGTTTTTCGTTTTGTTTTTTCTTGTGCATACCAAGCCGTAACACGATTCTCAAAAAATATTTCTTGTTGACGCACCCAGGGCACTACTTGAACTATTTTCCCATGAGTAGCTGCATTCTACAGTAAGCCAGGGGTGTACGACATTGTGCGGTTAGAGGAGGCTGCATGATGGAAGGTTTGATCCGCTTATTGTGAATCGCTCTCAAGGTCTGGTGTGAAGAAAAAAAAACGGTGATCGATCGGGTTGCCGCGTCAGTTTTCATTCGCACGTTCTGTAGCGTCTGCTGTTCCTTTGTGTTCCCGCGCTTAACAAAAAAAATGTCCCGCGGGCCTCTTCACGCGGCGTTGACGCTGAGCTTCACGCGCCTTCGCAGCAAAAGCGCCTGATGAATACCAACGTTGCGTTTCTCAAAAGTGGAGCAGCGTCGGTTCTTGTTACTTACGGTGTACACACGGCTGGGCGGCCCGTCGCGAGAGAAAAGAGTGAAGAGGTGGAAGGCCAAGCCTTCAGCTTTAAAGGTCGGGAGTGAGTGCTGGGAGGATACCTGTCAGGCCGGGCGCAGCTTGCGGCCCATTGAGTCGCCAGGAATCGTACGTTATTACGGAGTTTGCACGCATTTCTTTCGTCGGTATTCATCAAGAAGCAGAACATGCTGTCGCAGTGTTGGGGCGTGTACATCAGCGATGACAGAGCATTGTTACTGCAGTGCGTGCCGTGGTGCCAGAAGACGACACCCCTCGTCGCCTATAGCTTCACGCTCGTGCACGCGCGGCGCTCCGAGGCACGGCGCCAGCATCGGAACGCCTTCGTTGCATACGGTATTGCGCACAAACACGCTTGCCGCGGCCGCGGCGGCGTCGTTGTCGTTGACTTGGTGCGCACGCGGATCGTGGCACAAGGCGCAGCGCAACGGCGCGCGACACGCAGTCTCGTAGTAGGGCAACGATCCCAGACCTGAATTACGGATCCTCCGCTGGCACCCCGGAGCAACGGGGCACTCGCAAGGCGGAGGGATTACGTATCTGGGTTCCCGCGTGGCAGGCGCGCCAACGAGTCGACGCAAGCTCCAGGGAAGGGAAGCCGCCGCCGATCGCGCCTCGCCTTTTTTTTTTTTTTTTTTTCAAGATCAAGGCCCCTCGGGCGAGGCAAGTCGGCGTCGCCGCGGACCTGCGAGCTCTATCCCCCGTGTTTACCCCATATCCGAAGGCATCCCACGTCGCTGACCCACATTCCGTGGCCGCTGAATGCAAAAGGTGGTGCGGCCGGACCCCGCGGCGTCGTGCCCGTCGCAGTCGGCTCGTGGCGCACTATGCGCTCGCCGCTCGGCAATGCTGTACCACTGCGAGCGCAGAAAGGTCGGCTTCGATCCTTTACGGGATGATTCGCGAAGTTGCCGAAGATGAACGCAATGGCGCTGCACTCGAAGAGACCAAGGCTCCGTCTCCTTCTTTCCTTGGCTAACTTGTTCGCACACACTCTCAATCTCTTCGTGCGTTCACTTGTTCGTTCTGCCTCTCGAATCGCAAAACGAGGATTCAAGGGCTTGCGCACAGTGTGATCGGTTGTTGTCGCTATCGCCGCTCTCGAACTCCGAGCACGTCCGGAGAGCAGTGAATGAACCGCTACGAGGCGCACGCTTGGGCATCCTGTAATCCGCGCGACCCTTTTGTCGCAACAAGTTCATTCGGGTTTCTTTTCTGTAATTTTGGCCCTTCGCAGAGCTGGTTATTCAGAGCACGCCCGTGCCAGCTTGAACGGGGAACAACTTCGCGTTCGTACATAGAACCCTGCTGGTATTTTGGTGGAAGAATGTGGAAGGGGCGAAGCAACGACGAACTGTGTTCACGCTTTTATGAATGTGTGTGCCTTTACAAAAGCGCA